GGTATTAGAAAGTAAAAGATGAGAAATGTTTGAAAACAAGAATATACAAGCATACACTTTATTAGTCGTCAGTGATAAATGTTCTCACACATCAGATAGCCTTCAGTTAAATTGCTGTTACTCATGGAATGAGAAGGAAAAGGGCAAGTAATATATTAGTATTCTTATGAAAACAGTTTTGACCTAACACCTGAAGGGCTTTCAGAGGTCCTCAGAGGGACATATTTTAAGAAAACTGCTTTATGCAAATGTTTCAAAACTTTTTATATTATTTACATAAATGATTGTATTTGATTATGACATGAACAGAAGTATCATATAAAATGCAATAACAAGCAGTCTTGTGTCTCCAGAAACTGTATAATTGAAGGCACAAGGAACACAAATAGGTATACATTTTGTGTTCTTTTTTATCGTGTTGGGTTTTCTTGGAGGGTAAGAGAGGTTGAACCCAGGGCCTTGCACAAGCTAGGCAGGCACTCTACCACTCAGCTTTAACCCCAGCCTTGACTGCTTTTTTTATATGGCTTCAGACAGTGGTTGAGACCAACTCCTGGAGAATCAAGGGCTGAGAAGACCACCAGTTCATTGGCTTTGGACATGAACAAGCCACGGGCAGTTTTTATTTTTGCTCATTTCTTTGGCCAGTTAACTCTTGCTCACCTTGCCAATAGCCACTAGTGTGTTACAGCCTCCCTCTTCCATGTTCTTTCTCTCTATCCAAAACTAATGATTTTTCAATGGATAAGTTCTGCACGAAAACATTCACTACTAAATATAATTGTTATGTAAAATAGGGTAAATGGTATTTAAAATTTCTGGATGTTAGGCTGGAGATATAGCTCAGTGGGGGAGTACTTGCCTAACATGGGCAAGACCCTACATTTGATCCCCAGCCAAAAAACAAAACTATATATTACATAGAAATCCTGGATAAATAGTTATATATGGTTATTTTGTGGGAAAATGGCTTATGGTCCTTTGAAAAGCTGAGAAAACATATATTTCTGATTTAAAATAATGGAACACAGGATCCCACTAACTGAAAATTTTAGACATCCATCCTCCTCCCCTTTTTTTTTATAGTTGTAGATGGACAGAATGCCTTTATTTTATTTTATTTTTATCCATTCCCTTTTTAGAAAGGTTGAGATTTTAATAATGATAAGTGCCCCCATTTGATTAAAATTTTTTTTGTTAGTTGTTGATGGAATTTTATTTTATTCATTTAAATAAATATATGTGGTGCTGAGACTAGAACCCAGTGCCTCACACATGCTAGGCAAGTGCTCTACTACTGAGCCACAACCCCAGCCCTTCATTTGGTTTTTTTTTTAAAGAGAGAGAATTTTAATATTTATTTTTTTTAGTTTTCAGCAGACACAACATCTTTTATTTGTTTTTTTTTTTTTTTTTTGAGAGAAAGAGAGAATTTTTAATATTTATTATTTTTTTTTTTTAGTTTTCGGCGAACACAACATCTTTGTTTGTCTGTGGTGCTGAGGATCGAACCCGGACGCACACATGCCAGGCCAAGGCGCTACCGCTTGAGCCACATCCCCAGCCCAACATCTTTTATTTGTATGTGGTGCTGAGGATCGAACCCGGGCCACACGCATGCCAGGCGAGCACGCTACTACTTGAGCCACATCCCCAGCCCCCCTTCATTTGATTTTTACCCTACAAAAATATATATATAAATTTGGCCAAAGTTGTTTAGAGAAGGACTGTTAGTTAGGTACTGACAATATCTTTTTTTTTTTTTTAACCCCAGTACTTAAACCCTAGGTGCTTTACCACTGAACTGCATCTCAGCTCTTATTTTTTTAATTAATATTTTTATTTTTAAAAATTAATACAGATTCTCAGAAAAGTTGCCAAGACTAGCCTGGAACTTGAATCCTCCTGGCTCAGCCTCCCAAGTTGCTGGGAATAGAGGTGTACACTACTGTATCTGGCTGCTACTGAGCTACTTTAATTGTTGCTTTTTATCATTTGTGAAGGAGTCTTTCCCATGAGTTTTAAAGATACTTGACATTTGAGAAGGAATCACCTATGATATTTATAAATACCTAAATTTGTTATTACCTCTACAGGGTATAATTTTCTCTGTAAAATTCTTAGATTCTGCATCTAGCTTAGAGTCACATAATTGTGTTGTGCTATAAATACCAGAGAAACAGTCAAACTTAGTGACCAAGTGGGCAACTTCTATGCACCAACCATCTAGGGATTATGTGCCAAATGTTTAATTCAGAACATTGAAAATACACACAGGTAGGTCTTTGGGCTATCTTAGAATAGTTAAAACTATATTAAATGTGAGTGCTCAAGTTATCTTACAGTAATGGGAAGAATGTTCTAAACTACATGCCATCTTTCCCACTACCTGGATTCTTCTATGCCCCTTCCCAGTCTTCCCAGATTCGAAGTCACCACAATGTGCAATTACCGATGGGACTTTTGTGTCTGATGTCATGGGTGTTTTGAGACAGAAGAAAGGTTGAAAATGACTGTTCCATGTTGTTAACCTCACACTCTCCACCCACGGATTTGAAGGATGCTTTGCTTTCCGTTGAAGAGGCGAATGGATTAAAAAAATGTGGCATTTATACACAATGGAGTATTACTCTGCATTAAAAAATGACAAAATCATAGAATTTACAGGGAAATGGATGGCACTAGAGCAGATTATGCTAAGTGAAGCTAGCCAATCCCTAAAAAGCAAATGCCAAATGTCTCCTTTGATATAAGGAGAGTAACTAAGAACAGAGTAGGGACGAAGAGCATGAGAAGAAGATTAACATTAAACAGAGATGAGAGGTAGGAGGGAAAGGGAGAGAAAAGGGAAATTGCATGGAAATGGAAGGAGACCCTCAGGGTTATACAAAAGAACATACAAGAGGAAATGAGGGGAAAGGGAAAAATAATACAAGGGGGAGAAATGAAGGTCAATAGAGGGGGTAGAGAGAGAAGAGGGGTGGGGAGGGGAGGGGAGGGGGGATAGTAGAGGATAGGAAAGGTAGCAGAACATGACAGTCACTAGTATGGCAATATGTAAATCAATGGATGTGTTATTGATGTGATTCTGCAATCTGTATATGGGCTAAAAATGGGAGTTCATAACCCACTTGAAGCAAAGTGTGAAAGATGATATATCAAGAACTATGTAATGTTTTGAACAACCAACAATAAAAAAAAATAAAATTAAAAAAAAAAAAAAGAAGAGGCTTTTACTTTGATCTGGAACAGGCTTTGATGTCTCTTGTCTTTTCAGGTATATGAGCTCTCTGAAAGCTGAAAGCAGTTGTTTCCATATTCTTTATCATTCGGAGATCATGGAGGCACAGCCCTTGCCTTTTGAGCTGCTTATAGTCAAGTGGAGCAGAGAAGCCAGTTTAGCCATTGCATTTTTTGTTTGTTTTTGTGGTGGTGGTGCTAGGGATTGAATCTGAGGCCTTGCACATGCTTGGCAAGTGCTATACCACTGGGCTACCTTCCCAAACCTTTTTATTTTTTAAATATTTAAATTTTAGTTGTAGGTGGACACAATACCTTAATTTTATTTTTATGTGGTGTTGCTGTTTCGAACAGCACATGAGGATCGTGCCCAATGCCTCGTGTGCTAGACGAGTGTTCTACCACTGAGCTACAACCCCAGCCCTTCCAATCCTTTTTATTTTATTTTGATACAGGGTCTTGCTAAACTGCTGAGGCTGGCCTTGAACTTGCAATCCTTCTGCCTTACTCTCCTGAGCCACTGGAATTACAGGCATACACCATTGCAATCCAGCTCCCACTTAAGTATTCCAAAGTAGGTGAGTATGTGGTACTCAACTCAGTTTGGGAGAGAGAGGAATTAGGCAGTACTTCCCAGAGGTGATTTTTGAGTTATACAGGCAGTAAGTAGACAAGGATGGGAGTTCCATTTTGAATGCCTAGGAATTTGTGACTGGTTTGTAGATTGTAAATGGTACAAAGGATTGTAATCAAGTATTTTAACAGGTTTTTCAAAGTGTTTTCCTTCTTCTGGATAATGCTTTTGTTTTTTTCTTCTCTGTTTTACTCCTTTACCCCTTGATTAGAAGGATGTTTGGAATGTGAAAGGAAATAGAAGGGTAGGAATCTGGGTGACAGAATAATAGGTTTACCAAGAAGTAATGCAGATCCATCTCTAAAAACTGTGTTCCTGCTTTACTAAAATGCAGTTCTTTTGGTTGGTTACTTTCCTATTGAATATGTTATATTCCTGTTGCCAATCCAGACTGCTTGAATTTAAGGGCATCTCTTAAAAGATTCCCATTTTGGCTTAGGAATGAGAATGGGGGAAACAGCAAGACTAGGATCCAAGTTCATGCGCAAAAACATTTTTATTGGCTGTCTGAGTCACTGCATGTTGTTTAAATTAATTACAGGCTATTTATTTTGTACATTTCAAACCAATGAAGATTTAATTCCACCAAGATTTGAGTAAGTAAAAATAGAATAGAAAACCCTGATTCTGGCATAGTCTGAAAAAATGAAGAAAAAGCTGTCCATCTGTGAATTAGGCTTGGTGTTTTTTTTTGTTTTTTTTTTTTTTTTAATTTTTTATTGTGGGTTGTTCAAAACATTACAAATTTCTTGACATATCATATTCCACACTTTGATAGGCTTGGTGTTTTCTGTGATTGGCAATAGCAGAAAACAAGAAGCAAATCAGCACCTGTGCAGAAATGACTCCAATAAAATCACCACTACTTCAGGAACAGTTGCTGTGTCCAGGTCATAGTCATGTTCCTTCTAGTAGACTTCCTACTGACAGAAAAGTTGCCAACTAGCTGGGGTCTTCTTTCCAAATAGCTATTATCTTGCATTTAGATAAATTAACCATTAGTTGCAGTGACATGAGCATATGTAAAGAGCTCAGTGCTCTTAAAACTTGAAGTTGTAAATTACCTTTCATTTAATATCTTGACATATTAAAGAGTGATATTTTAAATGCTGGACTTGGTCATATTCTGGAGACTAAGAAAATAGAGTCCTTGAAGTCAAGCTGATTCTGTTTTTAGCCTCCTAAATGAAAAGGTAGATTGAACAGGTCTTGTTTGCAAAAAAAAAATTCAAGACCTACTTATCTACCAACAGCAGTTATATGTCATCAAACTATAGCACATAGAAAAAAAATATTGGATGAGAAGAGTGGAGAAAGGCATAAGGAACACAGAATCTTAACTCTATTAATTCGTAGGAAGGTTACTAGAAATGGGAGAAATGGTATTGGTAAGTTGAGGAGAGGATGTTTTCTCATAGTGCAGGCTTCAGAGAGTTCAGAAAGTTTTCTGGTACCTGAACCTCCTTGGATGGAGGCGAATGTGGTCTTACTTACAGAATGCCACAACACAGTGAACTGTGCTGGGGCAGTTTCCAGGGTGTGAGTTGTGTTAAGATTTATGATTTTAACAAATTTTGGAGGATGAGAAGTATTAAGAAGGTCCCACTGCCCACTCATATACTCTGTTTTATACTCCTGACCAAGTATATGCTTCAGAAATATTTTACTGGGTATGTACAGGTCGTTGTGTATCATTTGAACCAGCAGGAAGTCAATTATTAAACATGTACTTTGATAAATAAAAGACAATTTAATTTTACCAGGAACCAATGTCATTTTATGTCCCAAGTTGCTAAGCAACTTTCCAATTCCATCTAGAAATGTATTTTAAATTCTGAATATTTGGATTACTAAACCCTTGGTGGTTTTCACCAGGATTCTGTAGTTGTTCATATTCTCTTTCCCCTTCATTAAACTAGGAAACCAAAGCTTATGTAACAAGAGTTATAAAGTGACACAGGTAAAGCTAAGAAAAAAAAAAGATTTTAATTTTTTTTTTAATTGCCCAATATTAGGGATTGTGATTACAGTGGTCTAATTTTTAAGAAATCTTTTTTTTTTTTTTTTTTAAACAGATTTACCAGCAGGTTGCAAGTGTACATGGCCATGAGGTAAACCCTGCCCCTTGTTGAAATTTAGTTTCAGCTGATTGTTCAGTAGTATTTTAAGGAATTGAGTCTTAGGAAAAGCAGAAGTTTTGTTTGACTTTATTCTTGAATGTTTTTTTTTTTTTTTCTTCTTCTAGAAGATGAAATGATACTTAAACAAAAGTTCTTTTCTTCTTCCTTTGTGTGTGTGTGTGGGGGGGGCAGTTACTGGAACCCAGGGCCTTGGATATGATAGGCAAATGCTCTACCACTGAGCCACATACTTAGCCCTTAAATAAGTGATCTTTATGCTGAATAATTGTGATAATTGAAATTGTTCATATTTCTTGTTTAAGCGGTTTTTAAAAGTCAAAGATAATTCTAGACAGTTTTTTTCTTGATCAAATAAAATTTTATTAAAATCCCATAGGTGTCAAGTTTTTATCATTTTATCCATTCATCCATGTTCTTATTACATGTGATGTACTCTATACATAAAGCCTATTAGAACTCTGAATTAAAATTTGCCTAATATATCATACTTCCTGTTTGGTTGTTTCTATTTTAGTAGCTGAGAACATCTTTAAAAATACATATGGGTATTTTAATTGTTTATAACTTGAACCATTTCTGAGCTTATATCTGCTGCACCTTTCTTATTTCAGAGTAGGTGGTAGAGCTTGGTAGGGCAGGTGTTTATCTACGAAGAACTGTTGCACGGTAAGTGGTTAATTCAGGAATCTGAGCTGTTCTTTATACCAGTAGGCAAAGTTCAGTAGGAGGTGAGAGGTGTTTGGTGTGTCCAGTTTTGAGTGTGCTGGCAAGTGTGAACATTTCAAAGTGAAAGGTTTTTTTCATTTACAGATCCTTAAGTGATGAGAGTTAGGCATATCTTGTGTTGTTTAGAGAGCATCTGGAGTTGTTACTTTGCAGTTTGACTCAAGCTTTGAAATGCTGTGTGTGCAGAGTTTAAGTGGCATCTAGAAACTGGAACTGAAGAACAATGTACTGACAGAGCAGGGCACCAAGGTTACTGAATGGCACCAGGACCATGAGACACGATGCCCTGGAGCCACTGGCTGCACACCACTCTTCCCACCAGTACTCAGCTCTGTCCTGTGGTGGGTGGATTTCTTTTAAAAATTGTATATTTGCTCTGTGCCACATATTGTTAAACACTCTCAGTTTGTTATTAAGTCACCCAGTCCTATGAGACAAGTATTATTTTTCCCTTTGAAGGGAAATAGAAGGTCTGGATAAGGTGACTTTTTTCCAGGTCATAAGGCGAAGTAGTAACAAAGTAGCAATCAAACCCAGGTTCCTGTTTTAAAATCTGGCTCTTTATATTACAAGACAATTCCTAGAATCAGTTGCAACTAATGTTTTCTAATTTTTTTCCCATCTATTCCCTCAGTTCTCCACTTAGGCACATGCACACAGTGAAAGCACCACATTTGTGGTTAGTGTTTAATAGTAAGTAGTGCCCTGGTTTTCCCTGTCTTGCTACCAAGACATATATATCCTTCTGTTCCTTCTTAATATTTCCCTTCAGATTTTGCTCGTCTCCTGGCTATATGTAGGTCCTTTGCTGTAGTTTTGAAAGAGCCCTGCCAGCCCTCATGTGGAGAGCAGTGAGCAGCCAAAGAGCAGTGGTTAGATGAAGAAGATATTCATTTACTCAACAAGTATTTGGTGTGCACCTGTTACATGTTAGCATTTGAGGATCAAATGATGGACAAGAAAGATCCTTTTGCATGCCTACCTTCATGGAATTACTCATTATAGGGGTAATTTCAAAGTTAGTAATGTGAGCACCACGAAGGAGAGTGCAAGGTATTAAAGCATACAGTGGTTGGAATCTCACCACAGTGCTGCTGTTGGGAAACAGCGAGATTCTACTTCCAGAAAGGCACATATCTTCCCTTGCTCTCTTTGGCCAGCTTCTTGTCCTCTCAAATCTGTTCTTTATACTAATGAAATGTGATGAATATGGAGAGGCTGCTGAAACCATAGACTTTCCTTATCCTCTGCCAAGCTCCATAGGACTTAGAGATTCATTACAGTTTGCACATATACAAATTGACAAATGGTAGTTTGACTACTTGAAAGCCCTATGAGTTCATTTAGTGCAATCCATCATTTCACAGCTGGACCTGACAGTGACTACCCTAGCATCTTGCAAATAACTCTGCTCAGGACTAGAATCCAGGTCAGGTGAGAAGAGTGGCAGCACACCAGTCTGCCATATAATAACATGAGCCAAATTATGCTCAGCACATGGTGCTTGGATGCCAATTTTGGCCAGTGGAGGATGAGTGACTGAGAGGGTTAAATGCAGAAGAGAGACAAGAAATGACATCAGAGGGTCTAATAGAAAGTGACATGCATTGGCATTAAAATGCCATTATGTATCTTTAGACACCCTGGCTTTTCCAAAGAAAAACAGGGATGTACAAATTGGTGAAGCTGACAATTGAATGTGTATAGATGTTGAGAAATGTCTACGTTGAAAAATGACAATTTTGAATTTTCATAGTCTAATAGAATGCCAATCTTCTTCGGGGAAACTGTTATTCGTATATCTGGAGTTGTCCTGTTGTGCAGAAATTCATACTTATGCCTGAAAGTTAAACATTGACACAACAAAGCTTCAGAAATTCTCTACGTGAAGTATTTATAAAATATCTCATTAACTTAATAGTACTTCTGTACTTTTGCTATTTTCTTTTATTAAATGACTACCAAATAGGCCATCCCCAAAGCTATACTCTTTTCAAACATATCCTAAGACACATTTTCAAACTATTGAGCAACTTGTTAACCTAAGAAACATAAAAAATCATGATTTCATACTGCATCACAGTACAGAAATAGAACACATTTGAAACATTTGGATCTCAAGGCTTAAATGTACAGATCATTTATAATAAAGACATTTGAGTGCAACCCTGTGGTCTTTCAGGTGATAAAATAGGCCTTTGGGTCTAAACTCTTTTAAGTACACAGGTACTTGAAGCGTCTAGTTCTTAAAGTAAGCAGGGCATCTGCTGTCACTAGGACTATTTTTTTGGTGTTTGGTAGCACGAGCACCCTTTATCCATATTCTGTATCCTGTGTGCTTTTGGAAAACGGCTGAAACCCAAATCAACCATAGGCATGTCCTAATCCTACAACATGCAGACATCTGAAGAGGTCTGTGCACCAGCATGCCAGTTCAGACTCCTGGGATGTATGCTTAGAACATGATCTAAATGTGTCAGAGCAAGCCAGCCTGTCTCCATCCAACTCACCTTATCTTGTCTCCTTTTTTCACCTGAACAGCTACCAGAAGTTAAATGAGTCCTTTCTCTACCTTTCCTGTCACCACCAATAGAGTACAAGACCATGAATCAAAAAACTATAGCTCACTAGCAGACCTTATCCTCATTCTCCACTCCTGCTCAAGCTGCAGGCTTTGTTTTTGCTCTCTTTTGTCATGTTCTGTCATTGCTTCTCCTGACCTTGTTCTTACCTTTCTGAAACGAGACTTTGAATTTTATTCTTACTTTAGGCAGAATCCCCATATCTGGCTTAGTACATAGTAATTCTTGCCTCCCGGTTGTGGTTTAGATAGGAGATGTCCCCCAAAAGCTCATGTGTAATACAATGCAAGAAAGTATAGAAGTAAAATTATTTATTTATGAGAGCTTAGACCTAATCAGTGCATTCATCTCCTGCTAGGGATTAACTGGGTGGTCACTGTAAGCAGGTAGGAGGTGGGGGCATTGGGGGCTTAATTTTGCGGTATCTATTTTGTTCCTGGAGAGCACAACTCTCTCTGCTTCCTGATGACCATGTCCTGAGTTGCCTTCCTTCACCACACACTTCCACCTTGATGGTGCCTTGTTTTGGGCCCAGAGCAATGGAGAGTTGGCTGTCTAGGACAGACCTCTGAAACCATAAGTCCCAAATAAACTTTTCCTCTTCTAAAATTGTTCTTGTCAGGTCTTTTGGTCATGGGCAAAAGAGCTGACAAAAACATGCCCCAAACTTGTTCTGAAGTTCAGTAGAGTCCAGTATAATCTAAATCTCTTATGGGGGAAAGCTAGCCTTGCCATTTATGCTTGGGCATGACAATAAGGTTTTAAATAACCACGATAGAGAGTAGCAGAGAACACTGGATGAACGTTAGGATTCATCAAGCCAAGGCGGGTCCAAGGCTCCATATTATAAGAGGTGCTGGGAAAGCAATGTGGGGTTTTGTTGTGGGGTTTTTTTTTTGTGTGTGCGTGTGTATGTGTGTGTGTGTTCAATTTTTGAAGTAACGAAGGTTGTAACATAGCCCTTTAAGACTAAAGTTTTGTCTATTGGCCTGCATTCTTTCGGAGTTTTCTTCCAGCAACACTGAACTATTCCACATGTAAAGACAGCTCAGCTGCAGAAGCTGTAGTCACTAAGCCTCTTACATTTACTTAAAAAGATGGAATTGGGGCTTCAAATAAGACTGCAGCCACTTAACACTGATGCTGAACATAAATGAAAAAGCAATCACTTAGTTGGTTAAGAATTCAGTTGGTGAAGCCAGACTGCCTGGGTTTGAATTCAAGCTCAATCTATTGGGTAGACTTATCTAACACCTATGAGGTGCAGCCTTATTTTTAAAATGGGGTAATAAAATTGTGAAAAGTAAAGATAATGCATGTAAGAGGATAGAACAGTATTGGCACCTAAATGAGTTCTCTATGAATTTTATTTATGTTATTTTTGGAGAAAAGTTGCTTGCTATCCTCTCATTTGGACTTAAGAAAAGTGGATGACAACAACTCCCAGGTGGGAATATTTTATAAAACATAATGTGGGCCTTAATTATTGTTAGTGAAAACCTCTCACCGAAATTCAACTTTTAATCTCCAGTATTCAGCTTTTACTTTACCTTGATGATGCAAATGTGTGCCTCATGCACCAGGAGTAGCAGTTTGCTCCCAGGTCTTCCTGCTTAGGGACATCTTCAAAAGCCACACCCACTGTGTAGTCCAAACACTCATCCACCTCCACCTCCCAGTAGTGGCGCCCTCGGACTGGAATTAGACTTCCCATGACAGCAACACACCTGGTTTTAGAAAGTGGAGGCATGTCTGATTTGAGGGTGTCCCAAGCCTGACTGTGCAGATGAGTGACACCATCTGCTGGTGTCAGTAAGCAGGTAGTCTGTGAATGTGGACGTAGGTGCTTGACACATTACTTGTAAAGCTGTGAAAGCTCAGTGGCTGATGCTAAAGGTTCTAAGAGAAACATACACTGTTTGATGATGGGAGAGGAGAAGACAACCCACAGAATAGGTTCTGCTTGCTCTTAAAATTGGGGGTTTTCTAGTAATAAAGGTTAGATTCATTTGTTCACTTAAAAAAGGGTTTAAAACTCAAGAGAGGGCTGGGGATGTGGCTCAAGCGGTAGCGCGCTCGCCTGGCATGCGTGCAGCCCGGGTTCAATCCTCAGCACCATATACAAAGATGTTGTGTCTGCTGAAAACTAAAAATAAATATTAAAAATTAAAAAAAAAAAACAACTCAAGAGAATGCAGCCAAGGGAATGATACGCTTGAAGTTCATTGGCCAGCACTTGCTTATGGTACCAAACAAACATGAAGGGGGTCTGAGGTAATCCTATGTTATGGATGACTCCAGGGAGAAGATAAGAATTCAGAGGCTGCCCCAAGAATTGCAACATAGCAAGCATCCCTCACAAATCCTCAAACTCTACCTCCAAAATTCCACTGAGATTTATACTGACAAAGGTCAGAGTTATGATATGTTCTATAAAAAGTCAGATCACATCATTATTTCCAAAGGAAAATCTGAGTTAGATCTGGGCCCAGACAGGCCTCTCTCCCAAGTCCAACAACCTCAGCAACAAATGTCTACTGAACAATGGCTTATTGGATCCTTGATACACTCCTACAAGGTGGATAAGGTAACCTTCAACTTAATTGTGTTTGGTTCTGGGGATCAAATCCAGGGTCTTGTACATGCTAGGCAAGCTCTCTGCCACTGACCTACATTCCCAAACTTTTTCATGTTAGTTTGAGACAAGGTCCCACTATGTTGCTCTTGCACAGCCTGACAGCCTAACTCACATCTCTTGGTGCCATGATCTCAGCCCAGGCCTCAACTGCCCATATCATCTCCTCATCTTCATCCCACCAGGCTCCTACCTTGAACTTGGGATCTTCCTGCCTTAGCCTTCCAAGTTGCTGTTATAGGCATGTGCCACCAACACCGGCTTGAGAGGCCATGTTTAATGGAAACTGAATTAACTTTTGAATTTAACCAATCTGTGTTCTTATTCTCCTGTTGCTTTAATGTTTCTATCTCTATTTGCCCTTTTTATGCATCTTTGGGAAGGAGGATTGTATAAATAAGTAACTTCAACATCGAGTACTAAGCTCTGGATGTAGCTAGAGAACTAGATAGCCAACCAGCGTCTTTGGTGAAACCCGTCATTCAGGTCACATACAAGCTCAATGATGAGCTTTAGGGCCGGCCATTCCATCGCCCAATATCCTATAGGAGTTTTGTACCACAGTGTAGGAGGAAGCACACTGGACTAATTAGTAGGAGACAATAGTGGTGTTTGTGCTCTTGCACAGTCTAATAGCCTAACTCACATCTCTTGGTGTCATGATCTCAGCCCAGGCCTCAACTGCCCGTATCATCTCCTCATCTCCCTCCACCAGGCTCCTACCTCTTCACTCATTTCTTTTCCTCTTTCTAGGCTGCATCTGTTTAACATAATCCAGTTCTCCCTGAATAACAGTGTCATTAGGGAATTTCAGTCAATAAAGTACCTGGTAAACTGGGTCTTGCTGGGTAGCAGCTCTCTTGTAAGGATTTTCCTTTCACTTCGCACCACTGTAAACCCATCTTTAGAAATGGTCAACCAGGAATGGCAGGTGTTCTTGTTCAGGTGAAAGTAGCTTCCTGTGGAAGAAGGGAATACCTGGACCCAGATGATTCCCCTCCTGGCGCCTCCCCCACCCCCCCATCCCCTGAAGCCAGTCATTTTACTCCACAGCATGGTAGGATTAGCTTCATGTGGGATCCGCTTAAGCCTGCTCTTTGCAGTTATAGCCATCCTATGAGTTCAGGATGACATTTACCGTGTATGGGGTAGTTCTTGCGTGCTTAGCACAGCCCTAAGCAATTTGCAAGACTCACTTCTTTCAGTCCTCATGATTACTCTTAGAAACAGGTGTTACTAGTTCTATTTTGTAGATGAAGATACTGAGGCACAGGTGGTTAGGAAATCAGCTGGCACATGATAGACCACAGATTTGAACCCCATACTTGATTCTAGAGGCTGTGCTCTTAATTTGTAAGCTGTAAACGCCTGCACTTGGATAAGAATTTCCAGCTTTTTTACCAAGAGAAACAGAAATTGAAGGAATGACCCCCCTTTGCCATTCCGGAGAGTGAACCTAGGGGTGCTTTACCACTGAGCTACATCCCCCTAGCCCTTTTTAAATTTTATTTTGAGACAGGGTCCCACTAAGTTGCAGAAGTTGGCCTCAAATTTGCAATCTTATTGCCTCAGCCTCTATGTAGTTAGAGGTGTGTGCTACAGGTGTGTGCTACGTGCCAAGCCTTGAGGCAATTTATAATGATCCACTTGACAAAGGTTAGCAAAATCAAAGTTTCACTTTGCAATTAGGGCAGGAGATCATTCATCCCCAAGTCATGATGAAAAGAAAGCTCATCAAAAAGTGGTTCAAAATAGATCTAATTAAAAATTATCAGTATTAAAACCCCCCATTATTTTAGGAACATAGCAACTCATTTGCCATTACTGTCCCTTAGTCAAGCTTTTCTAAGGTCCCATTTTGTCATTTCTAATTGTCTCAGATGAGTTCAAGCATCACCACCAAACTGTTCATGATTATTTCCCACAATCTGATGTTATTGGGAACTTCATTTACTATCTGAGCTGACTGGTGGGGGAGCTGTGTTTCTACCTCACAACTAACAATGTGTGGCCCTTATTGGCTGATTTATGGTCCCAAACATACGTATGAACATTTATGTATGTGTGTGTGTGTGTGTGTGTGTGTGTGTGTGTGTGTGTATATATATATATATATAAATGTATACAAATGTATGTATATGTGTTTTTTGCTGATTCATATTCATTTTTTAAAATATTTTTTTGTTGTAGATGGACACTATATCTTTATTTGAATGTGTTTCTGAGGATTGAACCCAGTGCCTCACCCGTGCTAGGCAAGTGCTCTACCACTGAGCCACAACCCCAGCCCTGATTCATATTTATTTTAGTTTTCCATTAATAGTGTGCATGCTATGGGGCTGGGGATGTGGCTCAAGCGGTAGCATGCTTGCCTGGCATGCGTGCGGCCTGGGTTCGATCCTCAGCACCACTTACAAAAACAAAGATGTTGTGTCCGCCAAGAACTAAAAAAAAATAAATATTAAAAAAACTCTCTCTCTCTTTAAAAAAAATAGTGTGCATGCTAAAAAATTATTTAAACAAATCAGAGATTACTGAATAATTGAGCTGGCTGTACTTTTGCTCTCCATTCTCTTATTGAAACAGAATTTGGTATTTCAAAATACCAGATTGGCTCAAGAATTTGAAGCACTAGGCAACTGAAGGAAGGCCCAGCACTAGATGAAAGAAAAACCCAAATCCTAATGCTAGCAGTAATCTTTTCCAGCTCTGTGTCCTTAGGTGGCCTTTGAACTTGTTTTTCCCATCTGTGTGGAAGGAATATAAATGGGGGTTAATTGCAAGACCTCTCCTCCTAGCATTGGTAATGAGGACAAAATAACACAATGTGTCTCAGTGAAATATCCTAGTTAAGGAAATGTCCCTGACCCGGAGCCAGGCTCCCTGCTTCTGCTGCTTACCTGTAAATCACTCACTCAGCTGGCTTGGCTGGTTCTGCTCTAAGGTGTGGGGAGACCCGCCTGGCTTCTGTGTACCTTGGCAAATCTCAGAGAGCAGAGCCAGGATAATAGGAGATGTGTGGGTATTTCTAGTGAGGTCTCTGCTAACTCAAGACTTGGATGTGAGATGTGACGGTTCTCTGATAGAATAATGGTAAATGAGAAGGAATATGAGTATCCCCTAGGGCCAAAGAGAAGGCTGGACAACTGACTTTTAAGTTGGTCTTGAGCTAGGGAGATGGCTTGGACCCAAAGCAGGAACAGGGAGGTAAGCAGAGGCCAGTAACTTTTGGTAATTCCATAAAGACCTGGTCTCAAGGGAGTTATTCAATTTGTATAAGATATATGATGTGCTTGAGCCACCCAGATCCAGTGGGATAAGCCTCTAGTCCAACTTGGGCCTGAAAAAAAAGCCTTGAGTTCTGGGCTGGGATTGTGGCTCAGTTGCAGAGTACTTGCCTAGCATAAGTGAGGCACTGGGTTCGATCCTCAGCAAAGAAAACAAATAAAATAAAGGCATGCTGTCCATCTACAACTACAAAAAAAAAAAAAAAAAAAAGGGAAAACCCTGAGTTCTAATGCTCACTCGGCCACAAAATAGTGTCTTGGGCCTTCAGTCTTTCATCTGTTAAATGAGAATAGAGGGCTTTGATTGCCCATGAGCTCCTTCCAGGCCTGACTTGCCATGTGTTCATATCTACCTATATTCATCTGTATTTTTTTTAAGTCATAGCAGCACTGAGTGTGCCAAGAAGTGGCCACCTTGGGTCACAGAGTGTGTGGGCCAGGGCACAGACCTGTGGTGTGGACTGTAGCAGGCTCACTCCTGGCGCTGGGACCCCCAACATTGAGGGCTCTCACGTAGATGATATAGCACTGCCTGGGCTGTAGCTGTATCAGGGACTCACAGGTTGGGATGCCCACAACAGACCTGGGCACAAAAGCAGAGATGCAGTCAGCATGAGGTCAGGGCATCCAGGCCCAAGTGCCACATGTCCCTTTCAAAACAGGGATTTTAAAAACACTCACTCTTGTTTTCACCATCTTTTGACCTGCAGCAGTATAAAGTATTGGCTCCTCCTCAGTTGCCCTTAGAAAACCTGTGGTCCACTTTCTTACTTGTGTCTGTTGCTGTTTCCCTTCCAAACTCCTTACCCAAGTCTCCCAGGCACCCAGCACCAGGCTTGGTAAATGCAGCATCATGGATCATTCATGTAGTAAAATCCAGCATATCTCCATCTGGCTATTAGGATCATGACCTCTCTGAGGGCAGTGACTGAGTACTATTAACTGCAGTACCATGCTGGGCCCAAAGAAAGTTCTCAGTATGTGTCTATGAACAAATGACTGATCAGAACCAAAGGGTCCACTGAAGTCCACCTTGATACCCACGCTCTTGGAGGAAAGCTGCCCATTGGGAATAATCCAATTCATTACTATTGTATTATTCAATAATATAAGCTCACAATTGCCACTGTCTGTATTCCTGTGGTTTTAACCCCATTTCAGGCCAGTGGGCAAGAAAAATCTTCAGAGTTATGCTCATCTACAGATATAACACTCTCATCCATACAGGGCCAGTATGTTCACACCATCTTGGAGAATGCAGCTTCAGGCCAAAGAGGCACTTTTGCTTATTCTTTCAGTAGATATTAACTAAGCACCTTAGGTTCTAGATACTGTATAGGGAAGCCTGGGGGAAAACCAAATGCAATGCCTGCCTTCCTAGAGCTTGCAGTCTAGATGGGAAGAAAGGTGTTCCTCAAGCAATTACTATGGTAACCTTGACAAGTCCACAGTGTGCTGTAGAGTATCTGGGGGAGGAAGTTGAGTTCCAAAGAATGACTAGGAAATAACTGGAGAAAAGCGGGATAGAAAAGTCTTCTACATGGAAGGCAAAGCATATGGAAAGGTCACATGGCATGGAGGAGCAAGGAAAGTAAGAGGAACTAAAATATGACCTATGTGACTAGAGCTGAAGAGGGAGGAGGAGCCAGTGTGGGATGAGCTGGAGAGGCAAAAGGGTCCAAAGCCTGTGAAGGAGTTTTGCCTTTCCTTCCACAATGGGAGGTCAAAGCTGTATTTGTACTGGGAGAGTAAACACCACCCAGATCACTCAGGCCACTGACAAGCCCTCTGAGTGCCCCATCATTAAAGGTTTGTCCCAGGTGTCTGGTGCTCTGAAGGTATCAGCACAAACTGCAAAGGAAAACTTAAACCACTAGAGTGACCAGAAGCAGTGGACACTTCTACCACCCTGCCTGATTTCTGAGTATCTATAGGAGTAGAAAACCAAGGTTAGCCTTAGTGGGGCTATGGACACAGACTTCACCTGGAAGAGCTAGATGGTATAAATGGTCAGGTTCCAAGGCCAGCATTTAGCACAGAAGAATCTGCTTCCCTTACAGCTGACTCCAAACTCCTCCACCATTTCTCCAGGTCCAGCTCCATGCACCCCTATGCTTCACAACAGGCTGTCCTGCATGCAGTGGCTGGTGCTGTCCTGCCTAGTGGGTTTGTTCCCTTTCTACAAGGTTCTGGACTCCTGGTAGCAAGACAATGGAACATCTATGTTTCCTCTGCTATACACAGCTGACTTATCAGATCTGTAGACCCTGATGGTCATGGAGTCCAGGCCTCATCTACTTGCGAATGATTTTGCTCTGAAAAGCTGGGTGAACATGAGCCTCCAGACAACCCTCTACAATAGACAATATTCTTTGTATATTGAACTGCAATACCTGGCCTTTCCTCATTCCCCTCTCACTCTCCTCCCTGAATTCCAGACAGATGGCTTCTTAGTTCCTCTAGCATTTCCAGCTCACTCCTGCCCTGGGGCCTGTGTCAGGTAGCTCCTGTCCAAGGATGGAGAAGCCAGGTGTCAACTACTCTCCAGCTCAGTCCCTCCCATCTGTCCTGCTCTCAGTTTAAATGTCTACTCTATCCAAAGGTGGTTTCCATATCCACCTCCATTATCTAATTAATTACATTTCATTTTTCTTCCTAGCATTTGAGTGCTTCAGAGCACTGAGTATTTTACACATGGGTGTTTTCAAGGTATTGTTTGTTTCTTCAGTTTGACTAACATAAGGGCAGGGAGTGGTCTTTCTAGATTCCCAGTGGCTCCCCTCCCCAGGACCTGGTACCACCTAGGCTCTCCATATTTGTTGAATGAATGAATGGGAAACCATACTGGGAATGGGAGGGGGGAGTAAACATGAGATTTATCCATTTATTTACTTACTTGGTCATCATTCACTTTCAATAATAGTATTTCAGCTACTTCTCATGAAAACCAAGCAATCTAAAATTGAGATTCCTATGTGTCACAAATTCTGAACTTCTCTCCAGACTCTACACACTTTCTAAGTAGCCCAACAAATGCCCTCATAACTCACTCAGTTACTCCCAAGGCTTCTGGTGTTTCTGCTTGGGTCAGCTCCACTGTGTATGAGTCCACAGGATTCAGATTCCCAGACTCCCAGCAAATGAATGCAGCCTCTTCACAGCTCCTTATCTCTTTGCTTTTTATAATGGGAGGAGATGGGGCTAAATGTAGGAGAAAAAAGAGATGAAAAACCATTATGTTCATTTCTAGTCATTTTGTTCAGAGCCGTGGACAAATATCTTAACCACCCTCTTCCTCCCACAGAAAAGATACAATGCAGTAAAAAGTACCAAGAAGGGGTTGGGTATGTAGCTCAGTGGTAGAGCACTTGCCTAGCATGCATGAGACCCTGGGATCCATCCTCAGCAACACACACACACACACACACACACACACACACACACACAGCACCAGGGAATCCCTGTTGATATTCTTGGAGCAGAGGATATCTCAATGCTCAAATGTCAATGTGGCCAAAAGTATAACATTTTTTGAGATCAGCCATAAGAAAATGTATCTGCTGTATCAGGCACATATATTTGGTGTATTAAATAAAACCACACACACATAAAAATCACACAGCCCTTTCTGTCATTTCAAATGAAATCAAGAGCCCTATTACCTACAGAAACCTGTACCCTGGTGTACCCTGCTATAGAAAATAAGTGGTCCTCATTACCTGTCATGTATACTGCACGCTCGCTGGAAGGACTGGGGCCAGCTCTGTTCTGAGCAATGACCCAAAATTCATACTGGGTATTTGGTTCAAGGTTTGCCACTGAGCAATATGTTTCTTTGACGGTCACTGTAAACTCTGCGGGGGGAAAAAGAATTCAACCTTTAATAGGCCAAGTGGCTCCAAGTTCATTGTGCTGAATTCTACTGTAGTAGATTATAAAACTGGCTGCAAATTACACCCATCCTTATATAGATGGCTCTCTGCAATGTGACTTTGTTGTTCCTCCTTTTAAGAGGTTCTTTCTTGCTATTATTTAAAACTGGACTTACCTATTTGACTTGCTTCTGGGACTTGCTTTCGATGATAAGGCAATGACAAATGTGATATAAACAGAGGCTTGGGAAGTGCCAGTGCACAGGGGCTGCTAGGAATGCTTCCACCTCATGGGAACAAGTCCAAGCCCGTCTCTTGGAGGTTGTGAGACAACATGGAACAGCCCTAGCACCCAAGCCATTGCAGCCATCCCAGCTGAGGCACTAGATTAGTGAGGTCACCCTAGACAATCCAGTCCTACTCAAGGTGGCTCAGACCAGAGTTGTCCAGTCAACCCATAGAGTTATAGGAAATCATAAATGTTTTTTTATTTGAAGCCACTAGGTTGCAGGGTAGGGGGGTGTATTATTATGTAGCAAAAATGAAATGATAACAACTCCATTCCTCAGAAACCTGCAAGGCAGTGATCAAATCCACCATTTGATACCAGTTTTTTTATGACAGCAGGGTCCATTTAAAAGACCTTCAAAAAATTTCCATGACATAGCCCCCACACAATGGCCTCTGCATGTCGGCAGAGGGTGCTAGCATGGTTAGTTTGTAGCAAAAGCTGTGATTATTCAGGTTTGACTTCCTTTTTTTTTCTTTTTTTTTTGTTGGGGGGGGTGGTACAAGAGATTGAACTCAGGGATACTCGACCACTGAGCCATATCCCTAGCCCTATTTTGTATTTTATTAGAGACAGGGTCTCACTGAGTAGCTTATCACCTTGCTAAATTGCTGAGGCTGGCTTTGAACTTGTGATCCTCCCTCTGCCTCCAGAGCTGGTGGGATTACAGGTGTGCAGGTTTGACTTCTTGATCCCCATCCCCCCTTTTCCCTTCCCTTAAAGTTCTCTTGTTTATATAATCCACCCTCCCCTCCTCTCTCATCATCACATAAACTTACTCTTTTCTCAAGCATTTCACTTCCTTCCTGGTCCCTGGATAGAAATATCATCCTCACCTTCTGGAATTCAGAGCTCTCCACTTGCATGGCCTGGTATAGTAGGCAGGGAGCCTTCAGACCTGTTCTCACCCTGGTTCTGCCAAACTCCCTGGGTCCACACAAACAGCTCATTTCTCTCTAGGTCTCAGCATCCTCATACACAAAACGGAGATCCTAAATTTTCTTTTAGCAATCTCATTAGAATCCCAGGTGCACAGGACAGGTCCTATTGGGCCAGACCTGATCCTCTGATTCCTTCAGATACTTAGTGGGGTCTTTTGGGCAGTCTGATTCTTCTTTTTGCTATGGTTTAGATAAGTGTTCCTTGAACGCCCGTGTGTTGAAGGCTTGGTCCCTAGCCCATGGAGCTATTGAGAGGTGGTAGAACCTTTAGTAGGTAGTGCCTAGTGGAAGGAAGTTAGGTCATTGAGGGTGTGCCCTTGAAGGGGATATTGGGACCACAACTCCTTCCTGTCTCTCTAGACTCCCTAGCTACCATGAGGTGAGGACAAGGTGAGGACTGCTACCATAATAAACTACCACCATAGGATCAAAAGCAATGGAACCAAGTGACCATGGACTGAAACTTCAAAAATCCTGAGCCAAATAAACCTTTCCTCCTTTAAAGTTGATTTACTTCAGGCATTTTTGTTACAGTTATGGAAATTTGACTAATACTGCTAAACAGGAGAATAGTTTATAAATTATTGAGGGATAGACTACTCCAGCCCTAAACCCATACCAGCCATTTCCCTGGGTAAAAGATGGACCAAGAGCTGCCAGCAGGGGAGGTAGGTGGCCATTCCTAGGAGCTGTCTCAATCTGAGGTGTAGATCTGACAGCAGCATTCCTTATAGTTTGTAGAAATTCCCTCACTCTACATGAAATCTGCAAATGGATCCTCCAGTTTCTCCTGTAGCACAGGATTACTATGGGAAGAGCCAGTCTTAACTTTTACCTGCCAGGACATGCTAGAATTCAGCCCAGCTGGTTATCCTTAACAAGGGGCATCACTAGCCTTTCCTGCACCCAAAGCGGACACAGATTGATCCCAAGGACAACTCTGACCCCATGGCTTTATGGTCTTCTTTAGTCAGGCCCCAGCTTGCCTTTCTAGCCCTTTCTGCCATACTCTGGGCATTCCCAGATGCTCCACATTCAGACTCCTCTCTTCTTCACCATCCCAGCTGCCAAGAAGGCAGTGTCTGGTCCTCTGAGGGGCCTGAACCATTCCCATGGATGTGAGCATATTCCTGGTAGAGCCTCACCTGCTTGATCCTTTCCAAGTGAGCTGTCTTGCACTGGCCGGTAGGATAGCTGATAGCTCTCCACAGTGTCATCAGAGTATAAGCTCCAGCACACCCGGACCGAGGAACCTGTAGCTGAGTTGGGGGCCTGTGGATTTATCACTGGAGCAGAAGGAGCTAGAAAAGAAAAAAATAGAACAACAGCAACAAATGAGGAGGCTTAGGTGGTATGAGATGGCCCCTTTTATAGGATCATTGATTAGCAATCCCCCAATGAATCATGGTCTTTGGGAGCCCAAAGTGGAAAAGAATGGAGACGCAATGCCTTCCAGCCATGAGCCTGCAAGAACAACCAGGGTACCCATTTTGGATAAATGCAGATAAGTTTGGGGGGCAGGGGTCAGTGATAGGGTCTCAGGTTGGGGTACAGTTTGCATATCCTCAGGTTGTGGGTCCTCTAGCTCTTCCATGGCATCTGAAAAGACAGGACAGCCAGCCCTGGAGTGAACAGAGAGAAAGACTTTAGCTGAGTTGCTCTGCTTTTCCTGAGGTAGGGGTCCAATGGCCATTTCCCATATGGCAATCAGAGAAGATTGGGGTGGCTATATTGTACTTTTCAGAATAAATTTCTTCAGAGTCTTCTTCTCTGTATGTTAATCCTTCTTCCACCTCCATCCCAACATACAACACAAATGAGAAGAAAACCAAGTAATGCTTTTTCTCTGCTCTTCTTCCATGCCAGCACCTCCCTTTACCCCAGTCTTTTAAGAATGCCCTTAGTTTCAAAATTGAAAATTGAAATTGAACAATGTGGATAAGGGTACAGTTATCTTTTTTAAAAAATATATTTTAATTGTTAATAGACCTTTAAATATATATATATATATATATATATATATATATATATATATATATGTATGTGGGTGGACACAATACCTTTATTTTATTTTTATGTGGTGCTGAGGATCGAACCCAGTGCTTCATGCTTGCTAGGCGAGCACTCTACCACTGAGCCACAACCCCAGCCCCTAGACCTTTATTTTATTTATTTATATGTGGTGCTGAGAATCAAACCCAGTGCCTCACCCATGCCAGGCAAGTGCCCTACCGCTGAGGCCCAGCCCAGCCCCGGTACAGTTAATCTTAAAGGAGCTTATCTAGCTCATGCTTTCCTTCCTGTCCAGAAACTCACAGATCACAAAGTGACAAGGGTAAGGAGGGAGACAGAGAATCTACATTCCAAGAGGACAAAGTCCAGGGTCCCAGAAGATGCCCTTCTCTACACTGTCAAGAAAGCCCAACCAAGAGATGCAGTGTAAGAGGAGGGATGATTTGGGAGCTTTCAATCACCCAGGATGCACCAGCTGCAAGCAGGAGGGGAGTCATCTCCTTGGGAGCCGAACACTGAGGAAAGTGTCAATGCTTCTCAAGTGCTAACTCGTACCTTTGTGGCTTTCCTTCCAAATGACTAGGCCTGATTGTTTGGGTAGCACCCATCCTTAGACAAGAGAAAGGACCATCCAATGAACATCATAAATCAGTGAAATCTTCTCTTGACCCAATAATTCTAAGAATGACCCCAAGATTTGTGGTTAAAGATACTCATCACAGTATGATTTATAATGGCAAAAACTAGAAACATTCTAGTCCCCAACAATTGAGCATTAAGTAAAAATGATTAAGGTACATAGCCATTAAAATGATGTTGAGGAAGAATCTATCTGTGTGCAAAAATACCCATCATAATTAATTTACTAAAAAACCCCAGCAGATTACAGAACAAAATCATTTTATTTTTATAAAAAATCTGCAAATAAAACCCTAAAATGATATATACAACATTGTTCGCAATGTTGTTGGTGGTGAGAAAGGAAGGGTGTGAAGTTAAAAAAAAAAAAGCTGAGTTCTAGTATTATCCTTAGAAATAAATATTACAATAATATTTTTGAGAGCTACTTGGCACCATGTAATGTGTTCTATGTGCATTACCTCACTTAATTTTCACCATAGTCTTATAAGCATGATGATGTGCATTTTACAGGTGAAGAAACCAAGATGACTCAGAGAAGTTAGGTAAATTGTCCAGAGTTACACAGCTAGGTTGGGATTCTCACCAGCTCCATAGAATTCCAAAGTTTATTTTTTAGCTACTCTGCTAAAAACAGCTGCTCAGGAGCAACATAAACACAACATTTAAGGAAACTAAATTCAGACTTCTCACTTTGTCTGAATTAAGCAGAAAGGCAGATGTTTAGAAAGTTAGGCAGACTTTACACAGAAAATATTTCAAGGTTGCCTAGAGCCAGATGTTGGCACCTTGGATAGATTAGCCTCTCTTCTCATACTTACATGCCATAAAGACAGAGTAGTAAGTTGGAGGGGAAAAATACTTATTTCTAAATCTTTGACTTTATAGACATCAAAGTTTCTCACTCAAAGGTCAAGGAGTCTTTAGGGTTTTCTACAATAAGATTATGTTATATCTACAAAACAGACAATTTACTTTTTCCTTTCCAGTGTAGATACTTTTATTTATTTCTCTTGCCCAGTTGTTCTGTCTAGGACTTCTAGTACTATATTAAATAGAATGTTGAGACTGGGCATCATTGCTGTGTTCCACCTCAGAGACAAAGGCTTTCTGTTTTTCATTTTTAAATATGAAGTTAGCTGTGGGCTTGTCATAAGTGGCCTTTATTATGTTGTGGCACATTCCTAATTTGTTGACCATTTTATCACAAAAGAGTAAAATGTCAAATATTTTCTTTTCATCTTCTGACATGATCCTGTGATATTTATCCTTCATTCTGTTAATGTGGTCTATCACACTTATTGATTTGCATATGTTGAACCATTCTTGCATCTCAGAGATAAACCCACTTGATCATGGGTTTATCTTTTTTTTATTTTCTCTCCTTCTCTTTCTTTCTTTCTTTTTTTTTTTTTTTTGCTTCTTTCTTTCTTTCTTCCACCAGGTATTGAACTCAGGGGCACTTAACCTCTGAGCCACATCCCCAGTCCTTTTTACATTTTTATTTTGAGACTGGATCTTACTAAGTTGCTTAGAGCCTCACTAAGTTGTTGAGGCTGACTTTGAACTCACTATCCTCACAGGCATGCACCACCAAGCCCAGCATATAATCCTTTAAATGTACTGTTTAATTCAATTTGCTATAATTTTGCTGAAAATCTTTTTTTATCTGTGTTCATCAGAGATAGAGATGTGTGATTATTTTCCCCTTCATAGTGCCTTTGGGTTTGGTAAGAGGATAACGCTGGCCTCGTAAATGAATTTCAAAGTGTTTCTCCCTCTTCAATTTTTTGGAAGAGTTTGAGAAGGATTGACATTGATTCTTCTTTAAAATTTGCCACTGAAGCCCTCTGGTCATGAGCTTTTCTTCATTGGGATGTTTTGATTACTGATCTAATCTCCTTACTTATTAGTATTCTGTTCAGATTTTCCACTTTTTTGGCAGTACTGAGGATTGAACCCAGGGCCTCATGTTTGCTAAGCAGGCACTTCTACCACAGAGCTATAACCCTGTCTCCAGATTTTCTATCTCTTCATGATTTAGTGTTGGCAGTTTTTATGTTTCAAAGAATTTATCCATTTCTTCTAGGTTACTGAATTCTACTGGTGTAGAAATCTTCATAGTATTCTTTTATAACTTGTTGCATTTCTGGCCTCAGTTGTAATGTCTCCTCTTTTATTTCTAATTGTATTTATTGGCATTATCTCTCTTTTTAGTCAACTTTGTGTATCTATTCAACTAAGAAACTCTTTCATTAATTTTTTTCTATTGCTTTTCTACTTTCTATTCCATTAATTTTGGCTCTGGTACTTATTATTTCTTTCTTCTGTTACATTTGGAATAGATTGTTCTTTTTCTAGTTCTTCAAGGATTAAAAGATAGGCCATTTATTTGAGATTCTTCTTTTTTTTTAAATACTTTTTTAGTTGTCAATGGACCTTTATTTTATTTATTGATATGTGGTGCTGAGAATCAACCCCAGTGCTTCACACATGCTAGGCAAGCGCTCTGCCACTGTGCCCCAGCCTCAGCCCTCTTCTTCTTTTTTAATGCAGGTACTTACTGCTGGAAATTTCCTTTATACTACTGCTTTTGCATCCCATGAGTTATGATATGCTGTGTTTCATTTTCATTTGTTTCATATTTTTTAAATGTCCTTTTTGGTTTCTTCTTTGACCTATTGGTTGTTTAGATGTGTGTTGTTTAATTTCCACATATTTGTGAGTATACACAGGCAAAAAGACTTAATTTTCACCCTTACATTATACTGTACTCAAAAATAAACTCAAAATGTATTAAAGACTTGACTATAAGACCCCAAGCTGTAAAACTCCTCAATGAAAACATAAGGGGAAAATTTCTTGACATTGGTCTTGAAATGAATTCTTGGCAAAGGGGCTGGGGTTGTGGCTCAGTAGTAGAGTGCTTGCCTAGCATATGTGAAACACTGGGTTTGAGTCTCACACCACATAAATAAAATAAAGGTCCATCCATTAGTAACTAATAAAATATTTTTTAAAAAGATCTTTTTTTTTTTTTTAAAGCACAGTGGCTGGGATTGTAGCTTAGTGGTAGAGCTCTCGCTTGCACATGTGAGGCACTGGGTTCGATCCTCAGCACCATATAAAAATAAATAAATAAATAAATAAATAAAATGAAGGTATGTTTAAAAACCCACAGACAATAAAGAAAAAAAAATAGACAAATGTCCGACTACACAGCAAAGGAAACAATCAACACAGTGAAATGACATTCTACAGAATGGGATAAACTATTTGCACAGTATTTATCTGATAAAAGACTAATAATCTCCTACAACTCAATAGCAAGCAAACAAACAAACAAAAATAAGCCAGATGAGGTGGTGCACACCTGTAATCCCAATGATTTAGGAGGCTGAGGCAGAAGGATTGCAAGTTCGAGGCCAGCCTGGGCAACTTAGTGAGACCCTGTCTCAAAACAAAAAAAAATTTTTTTAAAGGACTGGAGATATAGCTCAGAGATAGAACATTCTTGGGTTTAATCCCTAGTACTGTATTAAACAAACAAACAATCAAACTCCAAATAACTACATTTAAAACGAGCAAAGGAAATGGATAGACATTTCTCCAAAGACATACAAATGGCCACCAAGTATACAAAGAAGGTGTTTAACATCCTTAATCATTAGGGAAAAGCTGATCAAAACCACAGTGACATATCAATCACCTCATTCCTGCTAGGATGGCTATTTTCAAAATACAGAACACAGAATATAACAAGTATTGGCAAGGAGACAGAGTATTATTGTTATTATATTATTATTTATTTTTTGATATTAGAGATTGAACCCAGAGGCACTTTACCACTGAGCCATATCCTCAGCCCTTTTTATTTTTTGTTTTGAGACAAGATCTGGCTAATTTGCTTATGGCTTTGCTAAGTTTCCCAGTCTGCCCTCAAATTTGGGATCCTGCCTCAGCCTCTCAAGTTGCTGAGATTACAGGTATGTGTCACTATGTCCAGCAAATTGGAACCCTTATACACTGTTGATGGGAATTCAAATCAGTGCAGCCACTGTTAAAAAACAAAACAAAACACAGTATATTGGTTCTACAAAAAACTAAAAATAGAACTGCCTATGCCTGTAGTCCCAGCTATTTGAGAAGCTAAGGCAGGAGGATCACTTGAATCCAGGAGTTTAAGATCAGCCTTGGCAACAGAGTGAAACCATCTGATAAACAAAACAAACAGACAAAAAAAAAAAAAAAAAAAACCACTTGCAGATGATTCAGCAATCCCACTTTGGGGTATATATTCAAAAAATTGAAATAAGAAATCTCAAAGACATATTTGCATACCCATGTTCACAGTAGCCAAGATATGGGAACAACCTAAATGTCCATTGATAGATGAATGGATAAAAAAGTATAATAATTATACACAATGGAATATTATTTAGCCTTAAAAAAGAAGAAAGTCTTACCATTTGTGACAACACAGATGAATCTACAGGTCAGCATGCTAAGTAAAATAAGCCAAATACTGCATGATTCCTTTTACATGAAATATCTAAAGTAGTCAAAGTCTTAGAAGCAGAGAATAGAATGGTGGTTTCCAAGGGATGGAGGAGGGAGAAATGGAGAATTGTTACTCCGTGGATATTAAGATTCAATTATTAGGGGGCTGGGGTTGTAGCTCAGTGGCAGAGTGCATGTGTGAGGCACTGGGTTAAAGACTCAGCACCACATAAAATAAATAAAGAAAGGTATTGTGTCTGTCTACAACTGAAAAAAAATTTTTTTAAAGATTCAATTATGTAAGATGATTATGTTGTAAAGATGTGCTGTCCAATATATGATTTACAGTAAACAATATGGTATTGTGCACTCTTACTTATATTAAGAGGATAAATCTGATGTTAAATGTACTTTTTTCCTTATTTTTATTGGTGCATTTTAATAGTGGGATTCATTAATATGTATTCACATAACACGCACAGTGTAACAATATAATTTGGTCACTATTTTTCCCCATTACCTTCCCTTCACTCATTTTCTCCCTCCTCCTGGTCCCTTTCCTCTATTCTACTGGTCTCCCTTTAATTTTCATGAGATCCTTGCCTACCCCTACCTTTCTTTTCCTTTTCCCTCTCTACCTTGCATATATGAGAGAAAACATAAGTAACCTCAGCTTTCTGAGTCTGGTTTACTTGGTTCAACATAATGCTTTAAGTTACATCCATTTTCCTACAAATGACATAATTTCATTCTTCTCTATGGTTGGATAAAACTTCATTGGGTGTATATACCATATTTTTTTATTTATTCATCTGTTGCTGGACACCTAGACTAGTTGGCTACTATAAATTGTGTGACTTTAAACATGGGTATTCATGTATAATTATAGTATGCTAGCTTTATTTTTTTAGGATAAATACTGAGGGGTGGTATAGCAAGATCATATAGTCTTCTGAGGTACACCCATACTGATTTCAATATGATGCTAACTGTTCTTTTTTTTTTTTTTTTAGAGAGAGAGAATTATATTTATTTTTTAGTTTTCGGCGGACACAACATCTTTGTTTGTATGTGGTGCTGAGGATCGAACCCGGGCCGAACGCATGCCAGGCGAGCGCGCTACTACTTGAGCCACATCCCCAGCCCTGATGCTAACTGTTCTTAACACACACACATTCTCTTGGAAATCTGAGCTTGCTGTGAAGTATGCACACAGGTAAGATACATACCTGGAATGGTGTTAATGGATCCCATCAGCTGCTCCACATCAGAGAAGTCCAAAGTCTGGTCTTCAAAATCAGGCTGTGCAGAGATTTCCACATCTGTTTTGGTTTTTAGGAATTTCCCAAGTCTGTTGGTGTTAAAACACATGCACACAAGAATGGAGGGGGGCTGGGCTGCAGTTCTTTGGAAGAGTACTTTCCTAGCATGTGTGAGGCACTGGTTTCAATTCCCAGCACCACATATAAATAAATAAAAAATAAAGGTCCATGTTAAAAACAAAAATCAAAAAACAGCACTCAGGGGACAATCCTTAGGGTGAATCTATGGTGCTGATCCCTAGTAATAAACTAAAGAGACTGCTGAATTTTCATTTATTAACATGCTACTGGCTGCCTTTAACTATCTGACTTGGTGACTGCCCTAGGAGGTCACCAATGAGGATGGGTGTGTTTTAGTCAGCTTTTTTGCTGCTATGACTTAAAGACCTGACTGGAAGGAAGAGGAGGAGGAAAAGTTTATTTGGGTGCTCAAAGTGTCACGTCTCAATCCATAGAAAGCAGGCTCCATTCCTTAGGGCTCAAGGTGAGGTTGAACATCATGGCAGAAGAGTGTGGCAGAGGGAAGTGGCTCACATGATCAGAAAGCTGAGAAAGATCTCCACTTGCCAGATACAAATACATATCCCAAAGCCACAGCCCCATTACCCCACCTGCCTTCAGTTACCATTCAATTAATCCCATTGGGTGATTAAAACACTGATTGTGTTAAGGATCTCATAACCCAATTATTTCTTCTCTGAACCTCTTGCATTGTCTCACCCATGAGTTTCTAGGGGACATCTCACATCCAAACCATAACAATGTGGGATTGGTTTATGCCTACAAGGGGAATGAGAAAATATAGGATTTTGTCAGAGGTATTGGGAGGACATCTTCTGATGAGATGCATCTCCACACCTTCTGGTGGATCTCAGAATCTAAACCGGAAACCCCCACACCCACATTACCTCAGGCCCCGAAAGGTACAGAGGGTTCAGACCCTAGGAGCTTTCTCTCCACTTGGCCAAGTACCCTCAAGTTGCTAATCTTAGGGCTCTGGGTCTTCTCAAACTACTTCCTGGCAGACACAGATTTTTAAGTGGCAAAGCCAGAATTTTAAACCAGGTCTATTTTTGCTCAAACCCTGTGTATAACCCTGACATAATTAAGTTTGTGTGTTCACATTGCTTTGTAGACATTGTCTTACTAGGTTTTCATAAAACTACCCGTGTTTGTACATAGGGAAAGTGGGTCTTTAGACTGGTTGGACCTGCCCACAGTCCTGGGATAGCAGGGCCTGAATTCCCACCTGTCTGATTCTAAGTGTGTGCATTCTGCAGCCTCACAGTCTGTGTCCTAGAACATTTGGGGATGATGGAAGTATTCTACAGATCTCAGTCCTCCTGATAAAATGAGGGGTTTGTGGAGGAGATTTGATCAAGATGAGCTGGCTGGGCCTCAACATTACATGCTCCTTCCAGCCATAAGATTCTGAAATTCAATACTAGAGGGCTCTCATGATCCCACACCATCATTCTGAAGCCAGTGCTATTTTACCCATAGGATCAGGCACAGAAGCTAAAACTAGAAGCATATAACCCAGTGGAACTAAGTCTAGAGGTGAAAGGAACAGAAAACAAAAATAGATGTTAGAACAAAAGTATTACCTGTCAGCCATAGCCACTGCATCCTACAAAGGAAGGGAAAAGGAAAAAAAAGTAATTGGACTTTGGAAATAAATTTCCTTTTAAAATTGAATATGTTTTTAAAAAACTTGGAAATTAGGAAAAGGAAAAAAATCTGCCATACCCACATCCTAACAAAGCCACACTTATACCTGTGTGTTTTTCTTTACACTATTGCTTCTCCCCATCAACAGTATGTAAGCACTTTTCATGTCACAAATGGTCTTTTGGACCATTGATTTGAGAGACTGCAAACAATTCATTGAATGGAGACTCCATCATTTACTTAACTGTTCCTCTATTGTTGGACATTGGTTGCTTCCGATCTTTTATCATAAATAGTGGTAAGTAAAATAATTTCATGTGTATCACCCTCCACATTCTGAATTGTGTCTTTGAGACACAGTGGCACTGTAGAACAGTTGATTCAAAAGGTATTAAGTGTTTATGGCTCTCATGGGGCCTGCAAATTGTTCTTTGGCTTTATTCATGGACCCATGTCTGGCAGGAAAGAGGTGTGACTTGGCTTTGAGGGGCAACTGTGGGCTTGGACAATGTCGGGGAACACACCCAGTAACTAGGAGGCTGGAGGTCCCTTCCCCACATCCTGAATACCACATCTACCCCATAGTCCTATGGGGCCTTATGAAGAAAGGGGACCCTACCTCTGACTGACATTTAAATTCCCACAGCCCTGCATGGGGCTCATATCAAGTTTAATTCAACTGAAAGAAAATTAAGAAATGGATTTTTTAAGTTCATGTCTGAGTTTATGAAGTAAAATTTATAATTACTACTCTTATAATGGAAATTTAAGGTAACTTTTTATCCTGGACAACTTTTTCCCCAGAGCTCCAAGAGGCCATCTCAGGTGACCATAAAATGCTCAGTACACTATTTTTGCTCAGCTCCAGGTTAAGGGGATAGGTCTCTGGGTAACCAGAACAGAGGAACAAAGACTGATGCTACCTCAACAATGGTAGAGGGGAAGGGTCAGTTGTATATGAGCCAGCTTGGCCATCATGGCAAAACTATGCAGAAAGATGGAGTGACAGCTTTTCCATCATGAATACCCAATGGAATCAAATGAATGCTGACCATAAAAGTCAACTCCAATATCTCCAGATGGAGAGAGAACAGCCTAACCTACCCTAACCATAACTGTCATTTCAGTTCATGATTTCATTTCTTTCCTGTTTTATTTCATTACTGACCTTTAAGAAATCAACCTTCTCCTCATGACACATCTCCTCTATTGTTTCCATCAGTTCTTTACAGGTGTCAAGGTTCTCTCCACAGCTGACCAGTTGTCCATACAAGGCTTCCAGCTTCTCTTTCTTTTTCTGCCCTAGAGTTTGTATTTTTTCTTCATATTTTTGAGCCAGCGTTTCCAAGATCTCATTGTAATGTAACTCAAAGTTTTGTTCTTGTCTTCCAAAATTCTCCTGTAAGACAGTTGATCTCAACCATCATTGAAGGGCATGTGATGTTGACTAGAGTCATTAGGAGGAGGAAAATACATCCTCTCAGAGCTGTTTTAGTCCCTCTGTTCCTCTGCTTTGTCATCTATTGTCCTGATGCTGGGGTGAATGCTTTGTGGGGGGGGGGGGGGTGGTCTCCATCCTAGATTCCCAAGAATAATCTTACGAAAAAGCACTGCTGTCTTTCCTGGTGGCATTTTTTAATTCTCTCCCAGTTTCAGCTATCTCCTATCACCTTGACAACCAGCCAGGGAGATTATCAATGATCAATCAGCCTGTTCCTGGAAACTTTGACCTTAAGGTGGAAATGCTTGCCCTGAGAGATCCCCACCTATCATTCCCTCCTGAGCTCTTGATAGCTCATGATGCTCATTTTCACTTCCTCATATTTGAATCTTACAGACATCACAATTCCATCTACTGGGATTATACAACTTGGGGAAAGAGGAAAGCAAAGAGGAATAAGCACTGTGGCTAGGTGGCACTCCCTGAAGGATGAGAAAATATAGGAAGCAGAAGAGTAGGTACCTACAGCATTTAATCCAGGAGCACAATACTTGAAAAATAGTAAGTAGAGCATATTGGCTTCTGGTTCCCATTACTTATCTTGGAAACCCAGAAGAGCTTTGTGGGTTTTGACTGATGCCATTCTTGTCAGGTGATGAGGACATTTCTGAAGAAGCTCTTATCAATCATTCAGAGTCATTAATGAACACTTACTATGTGCATAAGACTTGCTAAAAATGGTGAGAAAAAGCAATAGATGACTCCCCAGTGTGAATTATAAAAGATGGCCTCGAGTACTCTCTGAGGATGAAGATACTCTGATCTGTGAAAAGCTGGCAGAACAATATATAATGAGTTTTGTCCTCATACCCCTCCTACTACCTCTCATACACTCTGCTTTGAAGGGGAAGCTTTGCCCCTTGTGTCTTTCACAGGGCATTAAGGCAATAGTTCTCTTCCCTTTTAAGGTTGAGGTTGAAGCCCTCTTAATCCATGTGAGGTGATCCTGTTGATATAATCTGGTGCTGCATTAATAGAAGTAGAACATCCACATGAAGAGGAGAAGGAAAGTCCTATAGTCCTCAATCCTGGTCTACCTTGGCAGGAAGAGTTGGTCAGGCTCTGGTATTGCATTGAAATGCTATGTACCTACTAGGGCGCACCCAGGGAAACATTAATCTTATGAGAATTAGATAGCAAAAAAGGTAAAAAACAACAAACAAACAAACAAACAAACAAAACACTTATCTAAGATAGGATGGGTGTCTTGCAATGGCCTGTTAAGGCAGGCTTAGAAAAGGGGGGACAGCCTTGTTCTAGCTCTAGGGGCTAATCTAATCCATGAGCAGAGTTACAGAAGAGCAGCTTCTAGCTCAGTAATCTTGGCTCCTGGATCAAGAGCCCACAGACTTCCCTATTTCAGAATGGGCAAGGAGACAGGCCTCAAAGGATGGGATGTCCCTTCCAAATTCAGCATGCTAAATTCATAATTTCTCAAGAAAATCTACAAAATAGCTAACTAGAAAGAGAAAACACATTAACTTATTTTTTGAAACCCATGCAAAGCTAACAGAATGTCTGTGTTTGAGCAGTGATAACTGGCAGAATGAGCATATTACCTCATAAAACAACTAAAAACTCTTCAACAGTCCACACCTGACTTTATGTGGTAAACATGATAGGTACCCAAAGGCCTGTAAGTAACAATCCCCAAGAACAAAGGAACGACATGGAACCCCGCCATGTCTGGTGGCATAGCCAGTGCATCAGGTACCACCCAGTGTGTGAGGAGGAGGAGGAGGAAAAGGAAGAGAAAAAGGAAGAGAAGGGGGAAAAGGAGGAGGAGAAGATGAAGGAAGAGAAAGAGAGTAAGGAAAAAGAGAAGGAGTGGAGGAGGAGGAAAAGGACACTACAACAAGAACAACAAGCAAGCAAAAACACAAGGGCAAAAGAAAGCTGTTCCTTTCTTTGACACCAGAGTGCAAATGTTTATCTGTCACTAACTGGCTGACACCACCACGAAGTGTCTTTGTTAAAAAAGTACAGGAGTTCTAAACCACATGCAATTTGTGATTAGGGTAAAGAGACACAGGGAGAAAAAGTAGCCTGTGAAGAAGCAGGACTGCAACAGGGAGATTCTTCCCTCTTTTATCCATACAACAAATATATAAAGTGCCTGCTTTGAAACATACCTTGGAGTGGGACTGGGGATGAACAAATTCAGAAAAAAAAAAAAAGCCTCCCCACCCAGAGCACGCAACTCAGTAGGGAATGCTAGCAGGTAATCAGTACCACCAGGCTTATGGCTTGGTGCTAGGAGAGGTCGGAGGAAGGGCAAGGGGCGGGGGCAGTACTGACACCTCACATTTTAAAGAAAAGACTCTCTAACTTCTATTAGAAACAGTTGCTTGCCCAGTCACTGATGGAAGCCATGTGTCTGTCAAGGTCATCAGCCACACTCTTACCTCCACGGTGATGAAAACCTCTTCCAAGTGACTTGCAAAATTTTCCATCTCAATAATCTGCTTTTCCAATTTGTACATGTTTTTGTGAATTTCATCCTGTCCAACAAGCATCACAAAGAAGGTGTTAATGCTGGGCTAGGGTTGTGGCTCAGCGGTAGACCACTCTCCTAGCACGTGCGAGGCCTGGGTTCGATCCTCAGCACCACATTAAAAAAAAAAAAAAAAAAAAGGTATTGTGTCCGACTACAACTAAAAAATAAATATATATTTTTAAAAAGATGTTAATGCTACATCTGCTCTCTATCTCTCTTGGAGAAGGCATTTTAGATTTATTCCCTGTCTCAAGACACAAATGTGACATCAAAACAGAGGACTCAGGAGATCTATTTACCTTGGCACTTTCCAGTGCTTTATTGAGAGGGGTCACTTCATGCTCCTTGTGTTCATCAAAAGCCTTCTCAACAGCTCTGATTGGAGTTTTGCAAGTGACACAAAAAACATCCTCAGCTTCTTCCTCGTCTTCCTCCTCTGGGATAACGTAGCATTCGTACTCTTCACTGGCACGGCCATGGGCATACCTGTAGGCTTCCCGCAAGTCCTGGCACTGGCCAGCCAAGCCCCACCCTTCATAACCCAGGTCCTCAGCCTCAGCTGCCTCTCCTCCAAGTCTCCAGTCTCTCTGCTCCCTAGTTGGGTCTCTCCTCTTCATACCATAAGGAAGATATCCAGAAACTCCCATTCTGCTTTCCTCAACAAACTCATCCCCTAACTCCTGTTCATCTTCAAGTCCATATAAATGGACAAGATCATCCACTTCCTCTTGAAGGTCTCTTTGAATCTTCCTTTCCCCTGGCCCTCTTGGGTCCTTGGTCATTTCAGCTTGGACTACTTCTCTTCTCATTCTAGTGTTTTCTTGTGGAATAATCTGCATTCTGTTTTCAGAGTCATACAGATCCATGTTATAAAAGTGGAAGTCCTTAGGGGCAGTAGACCTGTCCAGCCCAGGTTCTTCCCCAGCTTCCTCCTCCATTGTTACTCTGGAAACCCTAGGAAGTACCTTTGAACAATCCTTCCTGGACAGTTAATAGTGAATATCTTAGATCCTACAACACAAAAACAAGGGAAAAATCAGTGCCTGAGGAGGTCATATCTTTGGTTTCTACTACTTCACACAAAATATTTTTTTAAAAAAATTATCTGAGCAGGGCTGGAGTTGTGGCTTAGATGTAGAGCACTTGCCTAGCATGAGTGAGGCACTGGGTTTGAGCCACATAAATAAAATAAAGTTATTATGTCCATCTATAATTGAAAATATATATTTTTTTAAAAAAGGAAAGCTATGATTTCTCTGGGAGGGTGGACTTTCTAAGCTTTAAGAGAAGAAATTTAAAGAGAAATGTCAATATATTTGACTAACAAAAGACTCCTATGCATTAAAAAAAGCCTAAAACCTACAGCTGGGGTTGTGGCTCAGTGGTAGAGTGCTTGCCTAGCATGTGTGAGGTGTTGGGTTTAATCCTCAGCATCACATAAACACAAAATAAAGGTATTGTGTCTACCTACAACTACAAAATAAATATTTTTTAAAAAGCCTAAAACTTCAAAGAGAAAATAATGGGAAGAGTTTCAGGATATAATTTTATTTTGTTGTTTTTCTTTATTTTACAGTACTAGGGAATGAACCCCATGGTACTTCACCACTGAGCCACATCCTTAGCCCTTTTTGTTTTTTATTTTTAAGTAGGGTCTCACTAAGTTGCTGAGACTGGCCTCAAACTTGTGATCCTCTTGCCTCAGCCTCATGAGTCACTGCAATTAAAGATGTACATCACCACAGCCAGCTATTTATTGTTATTATTTAGGGCGTGAAACTCAGAGGTACTCAGCCACTGAGCCACATCCTCATCCCTTTTTTTGTATTCTATTTAGAGGCAGGGTCTCACTGAGTTGCTTAGTGCCTCGCTGTTGCTGAGGATGGCTTTGAACTTTCAATCCTCCTGCCTCAGCCTCCCCAGCTGCTGGGATTACAGGTGTGCACCTCCGCGCCTAGCTTAATTATTCAGTTTTAAAATGTGTGTAACTCATTGAAAAATTAAGATCTAAATAGATGAATGTACAGGATAATTCACAGGATTATTACTTTTTATATATTAGCTATAAAAAATATTTGAAAAGCTGTCCATACTTATGAGTAACAGAGAACAAATAAATAAGAAGTCATTTTGCCTTTCCAGTTTGTAAATATTTTTAAAATATGAAAATGATACCTGAGGGGCTGTGGTTGTGGCTCAGCAGTAGAGTACATGCCTAGTACATTCAAGGCCCTGGGTTTGATCCTCAGCACTACATAAAAATAAATAAATAAAATAAGGGTATTGTGTCTAACTAGGAAATAAAAAATATTAAAAAAAAATAATACCTCGGGGGCTGGAGTTGTGGCTCAGGGGCAGAGCGCTTGCCTAGCATGTTTAAGGTTCTGGGTTCGATCCTGAGCACCACATAAAAATAAAATAAAGATCTTGTGTCCACTGAAAAACTAAAAAATAAATATTAAAAAATTCTCTCTCTCTTTATAAATAAATAAATAAATAAATAAATAAAATGAAGGTATTGTGTCCATCTACAACTAAAAAATAAATGTTGTAAAAAAAATCATACCTGAAGCTGGGTGAGAGTATGATGAGGTGAACAGCATCATGTGCTACTGATTAGAATGTCCCACATCTGGAGAACAAATTTGGCAATGATCGTATTTTTTAGCCTAGCAATCCTCTTTTGGAATTCAAGGGGAAACCCCACATACATAGAAAACATTTATTTCTATATATAAAAGTCCACAACAACAAAAAAAAATTAAAATAACATAAAATACCTTTTTTAAGTCTTAATGGTTAAGAGAACAGTTAAGTAAACAAGAATATATATACACTGTACAGAATACAAATCATCCTCAAAACATTTACAGAGAACAAATAATTACTTAGAAAAAATTACTTAGAAAAAGACTTATAGTAGTATTAAATAAAATGAACATAATTTTCACTATATGTAATGCCCACTATTTTAATGGAAGTACACAAAGTCTAGAAAAATAACAACAATAATAATAGTGCTGGGTGCAGTGGCTCAAACCTGTAATCCTAGTAGCTCCAGAGGCTGAGGCAGGAAGATTGTAAGTTCAAAGCCAGCCTCATCAACTTAGTGAGGCCCTGAACAATTTAGTGAGACCTTGCCTCAAAAAATTAAAAGGATTGGGGTTATAGCTTATAGCACCCCGGTACCAAAACCAAACCAAACCAAAACCAAAACACTATAATAGTAATAGTAAATACACTATTACTAGCTGCTACTTATTAAAAAGCATTTTCTATGTGCTCTTTCTGCGCTATGCAATATATATATATATATATATATTAATATCCTCCCTCAACCCTATGTGGTAGGGCCGGTATTATACCCATTTTATAGAAGAGGAGACTGTGGTTCCAAGAGGGGATCTCAGGCAAGTGCACAGTAAGTTGTTGAACAGGGATTTGAGCCTTAGACTATGTGGCAGCCAGTAGACAGATATCCAACTACAAGGGAACATAATTAACCAGAGATTTTAGTTTTTCTCTAAAACCTATTGCCACATTGCACAAAGGACACACTCCTCACAAACAGCTGCCATCCAATGACAAAGTGCGTAAGTCAATGTTTTGTTTTGTTTTGTTTTTAAGAGAGAGAATTTTTTTTAATATTTACTTTTCAGTTTTCGGTGGACACAACATCTTTATTTTCTTTTTATGTGGTGCTGAGGATCGAACCCAGAGCCCTGCACATGCCAGGTGAGCGTGTTACCACTTGAGCCACATCCTCAGCCCAATGGTTTTTAATATATTCACATACATGTTCAGTAATCACTGGCACTTTTAGAACATTTTATCCCCTTAAATAGAAACTCTACCTTTTTAGTAATCACCCCTAGATTTTCCCCAGCCTAAGCAAACACTAATCTACTTTCTGTCTCTACTGATTTTCCTGTTTGGACATTTTACATAAATGGATTTTATAATATATGATCCCAAGTGCTCCAGTAGTGGAATTAACACACGTTACTTAGATATCATATATTTAGCATATAGTATATATATATATATATATATATATATATATATATATATATATATATAGTATATCTTAGATATAATGTATATAAGTATATTTTGTGGCTGGCTTTTTTCACTTAGCATAATGTTTTCAAGATTCATCCATGTTGTAGCACACACATATTAACATCACACACACACACACACACACACACACACAGAGAAGTTTTTCAAATATTCTAGATCTTAGCCTATTTATTACTGGATTCTTCATTTAAAAAATATTTTCCCCTATATTTAGTGTGAGGATGGCCTTAGGCCTGAGCCTAAGCAACTCCATTTTAAAAACTCCAGTTTGAAACCTGCAGTCTCACCAGGCATACCCACAGAGCCCTCCAGGATGGCCTCAAACAAGTTACTTCCCCTCACCCTGATAAACAGAGTAAAGCCCCTGGCAGGCTGTCCTCATCTGATAAGAGGGAAAGGCTAGAAGATCAAGGTGGAGACCACCAGACCAGATGTTTCTGACCCCAGAGTAAATGATATCACTGAGAAATCCAGTGGTAGCTGATAAGGATTAAAAGGGGGTCAAAAGCCCCAAAATTTAGTATAAAAGAGCAAATGAACAGGGATTCAGCCAACCAAAACAAGGATGCACTCAAGCTGGAGAGCCTGATGAGGACCTGACATCCCATTACTTGTCATTGTTCCTGATCCTCTGCGTGATCCTCACTGTTCTCAAACTCTACCGCCTTGTCTGGACTCTGGTGAGAGAGGCAACCTTCTCCTCAACCGGTCCACTCCATGCCAGGAAAAGCCTGCCTTGGTTCCAGATCTGACCACCACAGTCTAAGTGGGTGTGCATCTGCTGGACATAAAGCCTAAGGCTTGAGACTTTTGAACTTAGCATGCAGAGGGAATGTCTGTCATTAACCTGTCGTGATTAAGTGTGTTTTGCTGTGCTTAGAATTAATCTAGAATTGTTTGCTGTAAATTGATTATGTCTATTGCAGTGCCTAGCATTAAGGATTGTCGTTTTCTTGATTAAGAACCTATAGAGTGAAATTGTATTGAGTAATTTGAGTGAATAAAGCATCGAAAGGGGCAGAAGTGTGTGGACATTCTTTATTTCTCCCCTCGACTGCATACATCGCAATTTTGCCCCCTCGAGACACTTAGGTTGCCTTTTAATTTTCTTGATGGTATTACTTGAAGCACACAAAAAAGTTAATTTGGGGGAAGTCTAATTTATCTTTTTTTCATTTTTGTTGTTTGTGTTTGTGATGTCAGATCTAGGAACCTAATGCCAAATCTTGCATTCCTGGGGTAAATCTCACTTGGTCCACGTTAAACTTTTTTGCAGGGTTTTTTTTTTTTTTTTTTTTTTTTTTTTTTTTAATCTTTCTCAGGTTTTGGTATTGGGGCAACATAGCTCAGAAAATAAGATGGAAAACATTCATTTTCGGGGTGGGGATGTGGCTCAAGCGGTAGCGCGCTTGCCTGGCATGCGTGCGGCCCGAGTTCGATCCTCAGCACCACATACAGACAAAGATGTTGTGTCCGCCGAAAACTAAAAAATAAATATTAAAATTCTCTCACCCTCTCTCACTCTTTCTTTAAAATAAAAAAAAAATTATACTACAGAGCTACAGTAACAAAAAAAAAACATTCATTTTCTTCTTGAAAGAGTTTGTGAAGAATTGGTACTAATTTTTTTTAAATGCTTGGTAGAATTTACTACCATAGTGAAGTCATATGGTCCTGAGCTTTCCTTGTGGGTAGATTTTAATTACTAATTCAAAATCTTTTCTTATTATAGAAGTTTTCAGATTAACTATTTCTTCTTAAGTCAGTTTTGGTGGCTTGTGTCTTTCTATGAAATGCCCATTTCATTTAAGCTATCTAATATATTGAAATAAAATTGTTCATAGTATTTCTTTTT